GCAGCAGCAGCTGCTGCTGCTGCAGCAACAGACTGGGGGCCCTGTATGCCCACTGCTGCTGCTGCTGCTGCTGCTGCTGCTGCTGCTGCTGCTGCAGCACGCTGCCGCCAAACAACTCTGCTTCTGCTAGCAGCAGCGGGGGAACGCTGCAGGCTGAGAAAGGAGACATACACCTGAAAGGAGACAGCTCCTCCTGCAGCCGCCGCAGCAGCGCAGGCAGCAGCAGCTGCAGCAGCAGCAGCAGCTGCTGCAGCAGCTGGTACACACTAGCAGCAGCGACTCGCTGCTGCTGCTGCTGCTGCTGCTGCTGCTGCTGCTGCTGCTGCTGCTGCTGCTGCTTCGCGCTAGCTACAGAAATTTTCGTAGCTCTCCAGACCGCTTGTGCTGCAGCAGCAGCAATAGCTTTTGCTGTTGCTGCTGCTGCTGCAGCAACAGCACGCAGCAGCAGCAGCAGCGGAACGTCAAGCCGCAGCAGACAACGGGGGGGGGGACTGTCTCCTCCTGAGGATAGCTGCCTATACACCGCAGCAGCGCTTATAGTCTCTTCATCAGGCACCCTGTACCTGCTGCTGCTGCTGCTGCTGCTGCTGCTGCTGCTGTTGCTGCTGCTGTGTTTCTGCAATGCAGCAGCAACAGCAGCAGACTGCTGCTGCTGCTGCTGCTGCTGCAGCGTCTTCGGTGATGCCGTGCTGCAGCAGCTGTCTCCCCAGCTGCTCGTTTGCTGCTGGTTGCTTATACTGCTTTCCCTGCTCTGGCTTTCTGCTGCTTCAATCCCGCTGCTGCTGCTGCTGCTGCTGCTGCTGCTGCTGCTGCTGCTGCTGCTGCTGCTGTTGCTGCTGCTGCTGCTGTTGGTGGTAGTATGGATGTCTGTTTTGTCGCTTCTAGAGGTGAGCCTGCTGCCGCTGCTGCTGGGTGTGCTGCTGCTGCTGCAGGGTGTGCTGCTGCTGCTGCTGCTGCTGCTGTCTGTGCTGCTGCAGCAGAGGCAGCTGTTGTATAGCCGTTCGCTGCAGCAGCAGCAACTGTCCCCGTTGCAATGAGAGACAATGCTGCTGCTGCTGCAGCCGTATCTGCTGCTGCTGCTGTCAGTGCTGCAGCAGCAGCTGCTGCTGTTGCAGCAGCAGCAGCTTCTGCTGCTGCTGCTGCAGCCGGGCTGCTGCAGCAGCTTTGCTGCGTACATATTAAGCAGCTCTGGGAGGCTGCTGCAGCCACACAGAAACCGAACCTGGAGTCTATCATCGTCCCCTTTCTGCTGCTGCTGCTGCTGCTGCTGCTGCTGCAGTGGTTGCTGCTGCTGCTGCTGCTGCTGCTGATGGCTGCGAACGCAAATAGTGGAGGCAGAATGCAGCAGCAGCGGGCCCCGTGAAGAAGGCAGCTGCTGCTGCTGCTGCTGCTGCTGCAGTGGTTGCTGCTGCTGCTGCTGCAGCTGCGGGGTAGTTTCCCACGCATCTAGGCCTAGCTGCTGCAGCTGCTGCAGCAGCTGCTGCTTGTGCTGCTGCAGCGCGGAGACACCAGGGCCATCGGTGAAGGTGAGGTGCTGCAGCCCCGCATAGAAAGCAGCAACTACAGCAGCAGCAGCAGCAGCAACGAGGGCATCGGCCTCCATCAACAGCAGCAGTTCATCGCTGTTAAATAC